TCAGCCCCACACTCGCTTCCACTACTCCTGGATCCCCCTCTCTCCCCAGATTCCACAATCCCGCACCTTCTTCCACGCTCCAGCCACGGGTAAGTGTCTGTGTCTGAAAGGTCCTATGAACTAGGCTCTATGAAGAAAGGCACAAGCCACAGAGGCTGGAAAGGCTGCACCTCTACGCACTCCTCTCCTGCTGGCACTCTTCAGCCTTTCCTGACTATGGACCCAGATCTAGAATCCCCTGCTGACCAGCAGTTCTGTGTACCTTTTTTTCCACTGGGCCCGTCTTGGGACGGGACGCGGCCCAAGCCCGTGCCCTGTGGATTCCCTCTGAACCTCAGGGCTCAGAGTTCTGGCCGATTATCTTTCCCAGAGCCTTGACTTTACCTTTCTCCGGGAGTCCTCTGCCTTTCCTGGCTGCAAACTGTCTCCCAGCTGATTGTCCTCTGCCAAGTCGGGCTGGATGTTACTGGTTTCAGCTGTTCACCCTATCTGCTCCGCGACAAGGCACAGGACAGGTCCGTCTATACTGCCGCCATTTTGTCTTCAGTCTGAAATGCATTTCTTAAGTCCAGTTAACTAAATCAAACTTGATTAAAAAAGAAAAAGAATATCTATTTTCCCATTTACAGCAAACATAAAACAAATGTATTATTTAATTTGTGATTTGATGGGTTAATGATTCTAAACTATTTGACAAGGGCCCTGGCCGGGTCTCATATGGTAGGAGCATCATCCCATACACCAAAAGGTTGTTGGTTCGGTTCCTGGTCAGAGCACATACCTACGTTTTGGGTTCAAACCCTGGTTGCATACAGTAGGCAACCTTTCGATGTCTCTCTCTCTCTTCAAATCAATAAAAACATATGCTCACGTGATGGTTGAAAAAATAAATAAACTATTCTATTAGGATTGTACTTGCCCTCTACTTACGTTTCCTTGTAGTGCTCATATACATACTTTGTTCAGTACAGTATAGGACAGTGATGGCGAACCTTTTGAGCTCGGCGTGTCAGCATTTTGAAAAACCCTAACTTAAATCTGGTGCCGTGTCACATATAGAAATTTTTTGATATTTGCAACCATAGTAAAACAAAGACTTATATTTTTGATATTTATTTTATATATTTAAATGCCATTTAACAAAGAAAAATCAACCAAAAAAATGAGTTCACGTGTCACCTCTGACACGCGTGTCATAGGTTCGCCATCACTGGTATAGGAGGCTTTGAATACATAATTTGGGGAGGTTTTTCGGTACTTTTTATTTTGAAATAAATATAGGTTCTCAGGAAGTTGCAAAAAAATTATACAGAGGTCCCATGTAACCTTAGCCAGCAATGGTACTCATTTCCCCCAGCATTCACATCCTATATAATAAAAGGCTAATATGCTAATAGACCGAATGGCGGAACAACTGGTCGCTATGACATGCGCTGACCACCAGGGGTCTTGCGTGGAACTTGGTGGGTGTCAGCCATGGCGGGATGGTGGAGCAGGTGAGCAGGGTTGCCAGACCAAGGCAGGGCGCCGGTCGCTGTCATCGGGGTGAACCTCTGATGGTTACTGAAAATTCTTTGCCCCTGCGCACCGCGGTCCCACCCAGTGCTTGCACCTGCTGCCGGCGTCAGCCCCGCTCGCACCCACAGCCAGCACTGGAGCCACCGCTTGTAGCCGCTGCCAGTGTCCGGTGCCGGTCCCAATCACTCAGCACCAACAGCAGGTACAAGCAGTGGCTGCCAGCCCTGATCGCCCCTGAAGGCTTCTCTACCTCCCCCTGCTCCTCAGGGGTGATCGGGGCACTGGTCCCGCTCATACCCGCTGCTGGCGCCAGCCCCAATTGCTCTGCGCCATCAGTGGGTGCAAGTGGGGGCTGCAGGAGCAGGGCTGCCAGCAGACAGGGGACCGGGGCCACAGCAGGAGGGACTGGGTCGGGGCACGGAGGATGGGCCGAGACCTGCCCCTGTGCCTACCACAGCCTCGCAGCCCACAGTTCCTTTCAAGGTGCACAAATTCAGGCACTGGGCCCCTAGTTTTAAATAACTGCAGTAGCACATTTCCTTTTCAATACATAATTTTTTATGAACTGTTTTCAGTTTTTATTGTTCTGATAAGCTCTTTTTCTTTACATCTTTTGTTTTATTATAAACCTGACAAGGAAAGAATTAAGCCCTATTAAATTTGTTCCTTTAATGTTGGTCTTTCCTATATGGGTTTGAATCTCTGAGATATTATCCTCTAAATACACAAGCTACTTCCTAATGGAAAGGAGTATGTTGAGCTTGGCTCTTAGATCCAATACTTGGCATTTCCACATCATTATCTTCAGCATAGAAATAGTGAACCTTTCAAAGATGCCTGACCACCACTGTAGGGCCCTTTGGCTGCTTATTTCTCTGCCCCCACTTCCACAGGGTACCTTGCCATTGGCCTTCATATTGTCTCCTTCTCCCTCTTCTGAGGAATTTCCTCCTCATCCATCTTCCACTCCCTCACCTTTGTCATCTGTGCTTCAGGGAGGCAGCTCAGTTCTGCCTGACTCCAGGCCAGATGAGAATCATTAGCTCTCCCATAGAATGGTGATTCTCCACTTCTCAGTGGATCACTCTCCATGGGTCCTTTCTGCAACTTTCTCTAAACTCCATAACCCTCTGAATTCAACTCCCTCACAGCAAAATCCTCTTGACCTCCCTGAGAGCTCATATTTAGCAGGAATGCCCAGCCCTCCTCTCCCCTACATCTGCTCAGTTTCCCTTCCTGCCTTCTCAGGAATCTTATGCTCTTATTGTCTCTTTTCTACATCTCTAGTTTTTGTCTCCTCTCTGGATCCTTACCATCAGCATTTCTTAAGCCTGCTTAATTTTTTCCCAACCTTAAAAACTTCTCCCTTCCCCTTCTTCCCACTGCAGCTACTGCCCTCAGTCTCTCTGCACCATCCCTCACCCTTCTGCAAACTGTAGCCTCTAACTGGTTTGTCCTAATCCACTCCTTCATTCTTCCTATTTAATGTCTACACTGTAGCTAAAGAAATCTTTTTAAAACACACATCTGACCATGTGACCTCTTTGCTTAAAACGCCCCAGTGGCTTACCACAGAGATAGAGTCTGAGGGTAAAACCAGTGTCCCTGCTTGGTTGGACATCCAGACTTCAGGCCCTGGCTCCTGCCTGCCTCTTCCAGCCTGACTGGAACCCCGCTTTCCTGCCCATGGCATTCTTTTACCTCCTGTCATTGGCCCTCTTCTTTGTATGTGCTGTTTCTTCTATGAGGATTACTCCCTTCTCCCTGCCACCTATCCTTTCCTTGTCAAGTAAACACCTGTTCATTTTGCAAATCTCACTTCTGCATTATTTCCTCTTGGTAAGCTTTTCTAAATTATGGCATTCATACTGACCTATTCTGCTTTCTCTTCTTGGCACCCATTACACTTGTAACTTTTTAAAACTGTACTTACGTGGCTAATGCAAGCCTGTAAATCTTGTGGGTCCAGGCACCCCATCAGTTCACCGTTTCCTGTTCCCTGTGCCTAATACACTGTGTGGCCACAGTAGTTTTCATTGTTGGAGAACTGAGACAAAATGCTGTCTTTCCGCATATATGTTTTTATGAAAATGAAGCTATTAAAGGTATGTGAAGCTACTACTTTATAGAATGCTACTTATGAAAAGTTAAAGTATAACATGATCCTGTCAACTTAAGGTATAATATAAAGGAAGGTTTAAAGAAACCTGAACATTTTGATACAAGCTGTTTTGATATACTGTATATGACTTAACAAAGTCTTTCTTTACTTTTTAAAATCCTGTTTGAGGAAATTTTGTTTTATACAGGGTAGGTGTCCCAGTGTCAAAAAGTCCCAGCCCTTTTACCTGTATCAGAACTTAACACTATGCAACTTCCTTCAGTCCCTGTCTTAACTCTTTAAATTGCTTTTTCTGCCTGGTTTGCTTTTATTACAAACAAGAAGAGACCCGAGCCTTCGTCATTTACTACTTAATCTTTTTTTTTTTTTTTTTTTTTTTATTAATTTTTTACAGAGAGGAAGGGAGAGAGATAGAGAGTCAGAAACATCGATGAGAGAGAAACATCGATCAGCTGCCTCCTGCACATCTCCCACCGGGGATGTGCCCGCAACCCAGGTACACGCCCCTGACCGGAATCGAACCTGGGACCCCTCAGTCCGCAAGCCGACGCTCCATCCACTGAGCCAAACCGGTTTCGGCATACTACTTAATCTTTTATTTAAGAAGACATTTTTTAATGATTATTCTGGTGTTCACTCTTTCCTTCTGCAAATATTTATTAGCTGCTGTGTGCCAGCCACTGTTCTGTGGGGGAGAGAGAGGGGAAAAGCTTAATTCCCCTTACAGCTCACATTATCATTCATTGGTGCCTTATTTATATCATTTGAGTGCTGGGTGACCTGCCATAGGTCTTTTATATAATGGACTTCTCTTTAGAGGGGCTTTTAGATTAAAGTAGATTATAAGTAGAATTCTATAAAGTAGTAGCTTTCTGAATAAATATCAGTATAAATGATTTTAAAGTATATTAAGATGGCCTAGAGTACTCCTTTAACTCCATTACTAGTTTATTTCTCAGAGATGTGATGTTATGGGATTAGGCCTGATTAGTCTCAGAGAGGAAGCATGCATCATACAGGTACATTACACTGACTACATGAGCTCTGCAGTTCTTTCAGGTGGGAAAATAAAAGAATATACAATTCAGTATCATGGGTAGTTGTTAGCATATCAGTTCAGCTCCAATAGAATTTATTGGCACTAGGAATTAGAATTTATTTGTTGACATTTTAATTTTTTATTTCTATAACCATTTATTCTATTCACTTACAAGTCAACAGAGCACTTGAATGGGATTTCATTCATTGTTACAAAGGAGCAGAAAAAGTATTAACTTTTAAACTTTACCACCTCTTAAGTAACAAAGTTCAATACCTTATTAAGCAATTTAATCACATATATATTCTTTTGTTTTTCAAGTCAATGCCCAAAAATATGGTGTCTCGTCTTTGTGAATCTAAAAAGGTTTGTGCTGCAGCTGATATGCAACTTCAGGTATGTATGTACCTTTGTTCATGTCTTAACTCTTTAAATTGTTCTGAAGTTTTCCAGAGTAATTATTCAAAATAAATATATAACTTTAAATTATTTCCAGTGCTACACATTTATTATAATAATTATGCTTCCAAAACATCTTTCATCTGAGTTCAAAGAACTTAACCAAATTGACTAATTCAATCCTCACTGTCTTAATGAAGTAGATGTTAAATGTGGTTATTTTCTATATTCAGTCTGGAAAATCAAAACTTGGAAAAGTTACATGATTTCTTCTAAATCATACATTTTAGCAACAAATTTATATATTGTTATTCACTTTGCTTTAAAAAAATGTGTTTTTAGATGTGAAGTCCAATGAAGAGTATAATGACTTTATTTCAGTAACATTCAAAACCTATTTTCCAGGTTTCCAGATAAAGACTAAAAAGACTTTATGAGTCATCTTTTTTTATAGAAAGACTAGAGGCCCAGTGCATGAAATTCATGCACCGGAAAAGGGGGGGGGGGTGTCTCTTAGCCCAGCCTGTACTCTGGGGGGATGTCTGATGCTGCATGCACCAGTGACCATACTTTTTATACAGGTGAAAGGCATCTTGCTGTTGTATGGGCAGCTACATTTTTTTTGCCCTGATTATAAAAAATAGTACAAAGGCAGTAGTACTATTTTTCCATTCTTATGGGTGGAAAACTGAAGCACAGAGAAGTTAAGTAATTGGCTTTGTCACACTTTGTCACATATAAGTGTCAGAATCAGAGCTGACCACAAAATGTGCAAGCAGAGTCCATGCATGTCATTGCTGCATCATCCTGTTTTTTCAGTGTTAGAGTAGCCTTGCCTCTTAATTTTTAAATCTAAGAGACTTTTCCCAATATATAGGGTAGGGTCCCTAGGCCTGGCCAGCGATCAGGGCCAATCTGTGGGGCGACCGGCAGGCGGGGCGTTCGGGGGAGGAGGGACCCGCCTGCTGTCACCTGCCTTGGCTGGTGGCCTGGCACTGCCCGCTCATGACCCCACCCCCCAATCGCCGCCACCAGTCACCTCCCTCTTGAAGGGCAAACGCTCAACACAGGAGCTGCCCTGACCAGTCGTTCCACTGTTCGGTCAATTTGCATGTTAGGGTTTTATTATATAGGATGTCAGGTCTATATGATACCAGATGTTTAAGTTATTTGTAATTACTGAGATTGCTTGTGGAATTCTTACTCATCATCAGATCTTGGGAATTATATAAACATAACCTAAACACTCATCTTTCATCTCAAGCATCTCAAAATATTTACTTTATAATGATCTAGTTACCTATTTAAAAGTGTAGCCACTCCTTAATTGTTTTATAGTTTTGTAAAATTCAGTCCCTAAAAAGTAATGAGCTTTGTTTTTTTGTACCTTAAAATACATATTTCAGTAAAGAAAATACCTACTGTAGACAAAACAGTAAATTTGCATTTGATTTACATTATTTAGTATCTATCCTATCTAATAAAGACACAATATGCAAATTAACCGTCACTCTGTGACAAAGATGGCAGCAGCCAGGCCAGGATGCTTGCATCGTTGCCATGGCGACAACGCAGGCATTCCACCCCGTCCCGGCCGCTCCAGGCCTCTGGGCAGCACACGTGTGCAAGTGCAGAGCAACCTGGGCTTTGCTGGATGCCTGCTATGAGAGGGGGTGCGGGGGGTGGAGGGAGCTACAGGAGTGCGGTGGCCTGAGCAAAGGCCAAGTGGCTGGAGTGAAGGCAGAAGGCAGTGACCAGAGTGAAGGCCGGGTCCCAGGTGCCAGAGGGAAGCCGGTGCTGGCAGCCAGGGGAAGGAACACCTATTGTTGCATGAATCTTCGTGCATCAGGCCTCTAGTATCAATATAATTAAAAATGAATTTCTGAATTATTTTTTAAAATTAGAATTACTAGTACTTTGAAAAAGTCTTTTGATTTGCTGATAATTATAGTACAAGTCCTAGTTTAAAACCTTTTGTCATGGCTCTTATTTTGAACAGTTGTTCCAATGATATTCTTTTAAAATGGAAAACCAACTTTTCACTCCTCCCACCTTCTAGAAAGAATAACCCCTTGATTGGGAGAGAATGGGAAAGCTGGAAAGGGAGAGGGAGGAGGGGAGAGAGAGAGACAGAGAGAGAGAACCTGTTACCAGAGGAGCCGCAGGAACCAGTTTTCATATTATACAATAGTCTCTTTGTACAGTGGAGAAAAACAAAGGTGGAAAGGAAATGGATTATTTCAGATTTCTAGAGGGGTATTAAAATTGTAATTTTTTTATTTTTTGCAGTGCATTGTTTTACAAATAGACTCTTAATTTTCTGTAGCTCTGAGAATCTTGATCCAAAGCATGCATGATTCCCTTGGTGAGCAAATAGGCTCATCACTTTAGAATTGTTTGGTTTATCTGCAAATGAGCATGAAATACATGCATTTAATTTATTTTGCTCTGTTTTTATAATTTAAAAAAATATTCCATGCTTATGCCTTTCATTTGTGAAAGGTAAAATTGAAAGAATGAAACTCTTGAATTCCTATTTGTTTATAGATTGTGGCAAAACACACACACACACACACACCAAAAAAATCAACACCTCAGTTGAGGTTAGAGTTTAAAAGTTTTAATTCCTAATAATTTATTCAGTTAGAATATAGACAAGACTTGTATGGGTAATTTTGGCTCCTGTTTATCTTTATGCATTGTTACTTATTATAGAATATAGAATTGAAAGAGCTATATTTAGCTATACGTTTAGATTACCAGTTAGAGTAAAGCAATATTTATATTTAGAAAATCTCTATATTTTTCTAGGGAATGTTTAAACTTGACTTTATAATTTAGAACCATAATTCTATATCTAGATGAAGCCAGAAGCTACAAGTCATTTAAATTTTTCTTTTATCCAAACTAATCCTCACTTCTTTCAAATCAACAGCTGCAAATTCTGTTTTTGAGTCAGAAAGATACATATCAGAAACATAATTGCATAACAGAATTTTTTTTCAAAATAAAGCATTTTCTACTTATTAACAATGCTAACAGTCAAGTCAAAAAAATTTATCATTACTATAGATTTTATGCAAAATTTAGTTTTCAGAACTTTATAAGCAGCAGATTTCACATTCAAACTTTTTCTAATGCTTTATTCTTCTATTATGTTTTAATGGCCTATATCTTCTATTTTGAGGTGAATGATCCTTTTCTTCTGGTCACCTCCTTAAGCCAGAATTATTCCTGCACAGCAGCTGCTGCTTTTGCACCTCCTGGCACCAGATATGGGGACTGACTTGGCTCTAGATCCAGATTCTCCAACAGCTGTACCAGAATTCTTTGTAATATCTGTCTTCACCAGACACTAGATTGTTATTGTTTTCTCCACCTCACCCCACCTATTTATCTTTTCTTACCTCTCCTTATAAAACTAGGATTCTGACCATTTCATTTTTCTCACTTAAGATATATGGGATTCCAGGAATAAAACAAACAGTATTTGTTAGGTTCTGGAGTCACAGTCATAACTTTATTTTTCATATTTCTAACCATATTTATTGCTGATACAAAGAAAGGCAAAATTTTAGTTCACAAATTTAAGTTGCTACATTATATTTTAAAGAGTACCTTACAGATGAGATTCAAAATTCTTTAATATCTTTAATTGTGAAAGGTTGAGAGTTTTCCTTTTCATCATTGACATAGTGTTAAATAATGAGCAAAATATATCTCAAGCCATATACATCTATATTTGTGAATGTTTTAGACTGTGATTTAAAATTATTATTCTGGAATGCATATAACATCTTTGGTCAAACACATCTTAGGTATAAGAAGGGCTACCCAAACTAAATAAATGTTTTCATCTGTCTAGGTCTTTTATGCCATTTTGGATCAAATTTACCATGGGAAGCATCCCCTGAGGCGGTCAACCACAGACATTCTCAAGGAAACACAGGAGAAATTTTATGGCTTACCATACGTTCCAAACACTGTGAGTCTAGCATTTTGATCCTTTTGTGTCCCGTTGAGTGGTTCTGCTAGTGTATCCATCAGTAGTTCATAGGTTGTGATCACCTTCCCCCCTCCTATAACTTGGAATCCTTATATTTATATCAAAGTTTCACATGGGGCAAATGCTAGAAATTGCTTGGCTTACTTAATGTCTCCAGCCATACATATTTTTTTTAATTTTTTTAAATTTTTTTTGTTGTTAACCCTCGCCCAAGGATATTTCTCCATTGATTTTTACAGAGAGTAGAAGGGAGGGGGAGAGACAGAGAGAAACATTGATGTGAAAGACACACATTGATTGGCTGTCTCCCACACTTGCCCCAGCCAGGGCTAGCTATCAAGGTACATGCAAATGCAATCATAAATAAGGGAGTTAAAACTGATTCCATAGAGATACAAATTTGACAATCTAGAAGAAATATATAAATTTCTAGAAGTATATAACCTTCCAAGACTGAACTGGTTAGGAATAGAAAATCTAAACAGACTGATTACTAGTAATAAAATTGAAGCGGTAATCAGAAACTTCCAACAAATTAAAATCCAGAACTAGATAACTTCTCAGGTGAATTCTACCAAACATTCAAAAAAGAACTAATGCCTTTTCTTAAACGATATCAAAATATTGAAAAGGAAGAAACACTTATGAACTCATTATACAAAGTTAGTGTTACCTTGATACCAAAGCCAGACAAAGAAATGACAAAAATTAAAAAAAAATTTACAGGCCAATATCCTTGATGAACATAAATACAAAAATTCTCAACCAAATATTAACAAATCAGATTTAACAATACATTAAATGGATTATACACCATAATGTGGTGGAATTCATCCCAGGGATACAAGGATGGTTCAACATTTATAAATCAATAATGCGATACACCACATTAACAAAATAAAGGGAAAACCATATGATCTTCTCAATAGATTCAGAAAAAAGCATTTAACAAAATCCAACATTCTTTTATAAAAATAATCTCAACAAAATATATATAGGAGTAACATATCTCAACAAGTTAATGTTATATATGGGAAACCCACACTAATATCATACTCAATGGTGAAGAGTTGAAAGCTTTGCCTCTAAGATTAAGAACGAGACAATGATGCCCACTCTCACCACTTCTATTCAACATGGTATTAGAAATCCTAGCCATAGCAGTCAGAGAAGGAAAAGAATTAAAAGGCATCCAGATTGGAAAGGAAGAAGTACAACTCTCATTATTTACAGATGACAAGATACTATAGATAGAAAACCCTAAGAACCCCACCAAAAATCTATTAGAACTAATAAATGAATTCAGTAAAGTTGTAGGTTACAGAAATCTATTATGTTTCTATATACCAATAATGAACAATCAGAAGGAGAAATTAAGAAAATAATTCTATTTACAGTTGCCCCAGAAAACATACAATACCTAGGAATAAATTTAACCGAAAAGGTGAGAAAGACTTGTAATGTGAAAATTGTAAGACACTTAAAAATAAATTGAAGAAGATACAAATAAATGGAAGGATATACCTTGCTGTTTTGATTAGAAGGATTAAAATTGTTAAAATGTCCTTATTACCTAAAGCAATCTACAGATTTAGTGTAATCCTTATTAAAATATCAAAGCATTCTTCTCAGAATTAAAACAACTAATCCTAAAATATATATGAAACCACAAAAAACTTCAATAGCCAGCAAAATCTTGAATAAGAACAAAGTGGAAGCTATCAGTCATGCTCCCTGATTTCAGAGTATACTACAAAGCTATAATAATCAAAACAGCATGGTACTGGCATAAAAACAGATATATAGATCAATGGAATAGAATTGAGAGCCCAGAAATAAATTCTGTGGTCAATTAATGCATGACAAAGGAGACAAGGCTATACAATGGGGCAAAGATATTCTCTTCAATAAGTGATTTTTGAGGAAACAATAGATATATGCAAAAAAATGAAATTGGATCACTTTCTTACACCATATACAAAAATAAGCTCGAAATGGATTAAATCTTAAATGTGAGACCTGAAACCATAAAACTCTTAGAAGAAAAAAGCAGTAAACACTTTAACATTGTTCTTGGCGATATCTTTTGATATGTCTTCTTGGGCAAGGGCAACAAAAGTGAAAATAAACAAATGGGACTGTGTCAAACTAAGAAGTGTTTGCACAGCAAAAAACCAACAAAATGAAAAGACAGTCTACTAAATGGGACAAGACATTTGCAAGCAATACATCTGATGAGGAGATAGTATCCAAAATATACAAGGAACTCATACACAAGAAAACAACAACAAATAATCCAGTTAAAAATGGGCAGAGGACCTGAATAGACATTTCGCTAAAGAGGATATACAGATGGCCATTAGACATATAAAAAAGTGCTCAGCATCACTAGTCATCAGGGAAATGCACATTAAAACCACAATGAAATATCACCTCACACCTGTCAGAATGACTCATTAATAAATCAAAAAATAAGTGCTGGTGAGGATGTGGAGAAAAAGGAACCCTCAGACATTGTTAGTAGGGTTGTAAATTAGTGCAGCCACTATGGAAAATAGTATGGAAAGCCCTGGACGGTGAGCTCAGTGGTTAGAGCCTCACCCCGTGCACCCAAAGGTGGTGGATCCCATTTCCAGTCAAGGGCATGTAACTGGGTTGCAGGTTCCATCCCCAGCCCCAGTTGGGGCACATATGGGAGGCAATCAATCAATGTGTTTCGCTCACATTGATGTTTCTCTCTCTCCCTCTGTCCCTGTCCCTCTCCTTCCCTCCTTCCCTCCTTCCCATTCTCTAAAAATGAATGGAAAAAATATCCCCATGTGAAAATTAACAAAGAAAGAAAGGAGGAAAGGAGAAGAGAGGGGAAAGGAGGGGAGGGTGGATTGGGGGTGGGGGAGGGGAGATAATACTCATAAAATTCAGATAGTGCTTACCTCTGGAATAAGGAATAGGATCACACATGTCTTAGAAATATTTTATTTCTTGATAATTTTGCCATTCTTTTTGCTGTATTAGTATAGATGTATTCTTGGTATGTAGAAAACATTCCTAAATGTTAGTAGGCTATTTTGGTTGCAATGTATGGGATAAATAATGGATTTAGGGAAACCACTTGGAAAGTTACTTAATTTCCCTGGCAAACACTAATGGTGTCTTCAACTAGAACAGTGGCATTGGGGAAGGAAAGATTGAAATGGGCTGGAGAACAGTGTAGAAAGGTACAGTCAGTAAGGCCAGGTAGTGGACTGGGGTAATGAGTGAGAAGTAAGGATCAAAATGACTGCAAGGTTTTTAACAAGAGTATTGAATAGAGTGTGACTAGTGTCTCTTCCCATACAGACCAAAAGAGTGACAGTTTTCCTCCTATAAACTTATCTCCAGAAATTGCTCTCTCAAGTGAATCACTTTTTTCCCTCAAATTAAACAGTTAGAAAAGGAAATTATAACTTAAACAGCAACCTACAAAGGATTCAGAATGTTTATAGAATCTGTACATATTATATGGACGGAATGTGCTCTAAACTTTTAGAGATGGTGATTACATACGTGTATGTATTAGCATTTCTTTAAGTGTGTTAATAACTCATCTTGGGAATAAAGTGCCCTATTAATTATGTTTGAGAAACACTGGTTTAAATTATGTTAAGTGGGTTTTTTACTGCAGGACTTCTCAAAATCTGCAATGTGCTAATGAACATGAATTTCTAGTGCTCTGTTCCCAAACTTAATAACTTTGGGAGTCTTCATCAATAGGGCATATTTTGGAATACTCTGCAAGTATATTATTCTGTAATTATATTACTGTTGAATGGGAGCATCTCTATCAATATTCTACATAAAATAATGGATGCTTATTTTTAAATGAATAGCATTATTATGTCAGCAATTTATTAATATTTTGTGACTCCTAGGTCACTCTGTATAATATATTGTATAGACAACTTTAATATCTACTTTTATTTGCTATTTCATCTAACAGTAGTTTGATGCTAGAAATCCAAAAGCTCCTGCTCAGTTGTAAATAGAGGGTGATTTTGCAATATGCCAACAGGCTAGTCTTCCATTGTTACCACTTCTGTTTAGCGTATAATGAATATTCTCAGATTATTTCTAAATGATTGTTCATTTCCTCATTTTTAATTCAGAGAGTAGAAAATGCTGTATTTCTTTAAAATATATTTTTATTTATTTCAGAGAGGAAGGGAGAGGGGAAAAGGATAGAAATACAAATGATGAGAGAGTATTATTTATTGGCTGCCTCTTGCACACTCCCCACTGGGCATTAAGCCCACAACCCAGGTATGTGCCATGACTGGGAATTGAACCATGACTTCCTGGCTCATAGCTTGTTGCTCAACTGCTGAGCCACTCTGGCCAGCTGTATTTTTATTTTTATAGTACTCCAGATTTATAATTCTTACATTGTGACTCACCTCTGAAACTGTTGAGAAACAATCATGTATATCTAAGAAAGTTTGGAATGAAACATTTCTCTGGCCTTATGATCCTCAAATTCTGTCCTAATAAGTATTTTTAAAGCTCAAAACATGAACAACTACTCTGCTGGTAGACTACAGTTTTTAAGATTGGTTGATGATGCTGTTGTATTTCAGTGTTTTAAAGTAATTTTGTAGACTTGTGAATATTGGTGTTAGAGCTGTGTGTCTCACACGTCTGTTCTTTGAGTAAGTCTTGATGTCTATAAGACCTTTGTTTGTCCTTTACCCACCTCAAATTGAAAACAGGAATGTGCATATAATAAGGAAGTTCTGAGCACATGGAAGTCTTTACTTAATTCTTTATTTTACATCAGGGATGGGGAACATCTGACCCTCGGGCCCTATAAGGCCCATGAAGTCATTTGGTCTGTCCCTACCAAGGCATTAGGGGTGAGTTAATTAAATGTTTGACCAAATATAGCAGGCTGATTTTTAAGTTGATAATTTTGTATGGCCTAGGAATGATGTTATAAATATCCA